GAAGGAGTCGTTGGGTGTCGACCCTTTTGAGAGCCTTAAAACCCCGTTAGAGTCGGTCGGTATTCAAGCAGACGATTTGAATATCGAGAAGAAACTAATGAATGGCATCAAAAAATTCGAGGACAAGATCGTAAAGGATGGGCTCGAAGACGAGGAGGAAGAAGAAGAGGAAGGGGAGGAGGAGGAAGAGGGGACCACCACTACCACTAAGAAACCAAAGTCCAAGAAGAAATCTAAATCTAAAAATTAAACCGATTATAAGCTAACAACCGATGTTCGCATTGAAAATGTTAACAAATTTGTTTATAAAAAATAAATGTTTTAAAAATTAATGTTGTTTTTCAAATCGTAATTATATGCGAAGGCATTGAATATTTGAACGAATTTTTTATTTTTTATAAATTAAGGAAAAATGAAATTTTATTTACAAATTAAATACAAATTCAATGATTTCAATCAATCAACGAATTTATCTGCCAGTCCTTGAGAGGTATCGCAGCTCTGGTATGTCTATTAGATTATTTCCTAAACATTTAAGCATTAAATCATAAGATTTAATAAAAATAATTAATTCCCAAAATAAATACCCAGTCATTAATTTTCACAACTTTTGGTAAAAGAATTCATTATTTCTTATATAATATTTAGAAATTCTTAACAAAGAATACACAGAATTATTGTAAGGCATATGCAGTGCTATTATACTGTATATAAGTTATGCGATAGAAATTCATTCAATGCCTCTGTTATAATGAGTTTATTTACACTTTTAAATGGCTTTACTCTTGTGTATCGATATTATAAAAGCGACTCAAAAGTCTGTTTAATATTTTAAAGCAATAAATATTACATAAATAAACATTAAATATGTCTAATATATGATTGCGTGCGAAGAGATAGCGATAGAGAGAAAAGATGTTCAACTATTATAGAAGAGAAAAAAGTTTGTTTATAAAAAGTCTTTTAAAAAACACAAAATATATAAAGTTTTTATAAACAAAGACAAGTGTATGATATAAGAGGCAAAAGGTATGGGTTTGTAGTGAGAGACTGGGCTTAAGACTCAATTTAAAGGGCATAACAGCTGTTGAGGAAACGGTGGTTCCCTTTGCAGAGTCATAAAGACTTTGTACCCATTGTTAGAGTCGGTCGTCGAGAGAGTGAGTGAGAGATACAATTGAAGGCTGAATGTAGGGCTCGAGTCTCTCACAGACACCACACATACAAACACACAGTGAGAGAGAGAGAGACAGAGAGAGCGAGAGAGGGAGAGAGCCATAGACCGGGACTTGACTGTGGAGATCAGCGGTGTATGAGTGGCACAGACTCTATGCGCACAACACTAGCCGTAAATGTCGTCACGAGTTCTCACGACTCACTCCAACACTTGGAGAGAGATTCAGAGATACACTGACTGTACGGACAGTGAATGCGAAGGCATTGTTGCCATCATTACTGACACAAACGCTTTGGCCATTCATTCACTCATTTATTAAACACTGTTTTTGCAGACAATCAGACAATCACTGCAATTATGAGACGATATGTTTTGAATACACTGTCAATCAGTTTGCGGTCTCATTAATCGTTGTGTGCTTTTCATATCAAACACACCATTAATTGTCTGCTTTTTTGTGACCAATAAATACTAAATACAATACATGTTTTGGATCTGAGTTTACATTTGTTTTGATGTGTTTTTGTTTGTTTTACTCGTGTTTTTAGCGCTACTTTACATGCAATTAGTGAACCACTCATTACTATTCACTCATTTTAATAATTATTTATTATAATTCATATCTAATAACACCCAAAATGTGTTATTATTTACTAATTATAGCAATAATTGTCTCATATATACAACACTCATATCAAGGTTTGTGTGCAAAACATTTTAAAAATACATTTCATAAATATATTTATTTCATTTAACGATAAATTAGTAATTGTTTTGAATGAATGCAATGATTAATGCGTTTAGAAATGCATATAAAAAACAATATATTTAATGAATGGCAAGAGTTATATTAGCAAATGAATGACTGAATGACTCAATCAATTGGTATCTATGATAGGAAACGCTCCGAAATTAAAGCCGTTTTACTTCGACAAGAATGCCATAAACGGACAGTCAGTTCGGGTTCACTGCCGTCTTCTGGAGGGCAGTCCTCCGGTAGAGTTCCGATGGCTTAAAGACGGCCATCAGCTGAAGAGCCAAACGGCGGACGCGATGGGAGTGTCGATCGAGTCTCGCGAGGATTACTCATCGCTTGTTATCGATCGCGTCTCTGCCCTCAGCGCTGGTGTCTATACCTGCTATGTCTCCAACATCTATGGCTCCGACACATGGAGTGACGGCTTCTTCATGGATGGTATCAAATGATTATTTGTTTGTTTAACTCCTTTAGTCTCTGTTTCCCATTAACTCTTCACTCATTATAATTCATTCATTATATGTGAAATTCCTATTCAATTGATATCATTGTCTATAAATAGCGATTCTATAGTCATATGTAATAACGTTTAGGGGTATTGAGAGTGAAAGCGTTGGTTAGCGTTATGTTTAATAGTGTTAGTCACTGAAGGGGACTCGTTGTGGGCTTAATAGCTGGTCGTATATTCTTGCAAACCATCCCTTCTTCTACTCTGTTTAGCATTGAATGCAAAATATCTATTATATTAAGCGCTGAAATAAATGACTTGTAAGTGAATTGATAAAAACAGGTCGTTATTAACATCAATCAAATCGTTAGTATAGTTATTATTTTATATGAATATAAGTTTTAAATTGTTTTTTGTTATAAAAATTACTTCTTGTAACGCTTTTCTAATAGATTAGTGGTTATAATCGTTTAAAATACTTTGAACTAAAAGTTTAAAACAGTTGGTTATCGTGTAATCGTTAGATATTATTAGACAACGACTGATATTTTTCTAATAAATCATAAAAATGTTTACATTCTTATATCTATTATAATAAATATAATTGAATTGAGTGTTAAGTTAAATGTAAATATTTGACAGCACATTGAAACTTGTGTTAATTGTTTGTTTTAACACATATTGAATACTTGATAAATAGTGCCACCGTTTCTGAGGACAGCGGTGTTGATCCCAATACTGGTGGCGATTGTCATTATAGTGATCGCCTGTTCGGCCGCTTATGTCTACATCAAAGTGGAGGAAAGAAACGCTCAGTTAATCAAAGCGGGAATGCTTTCTGTGAGTCCATCGAAACAATTCCAATACATCGACACCTCTCACACCACACCGCAGATGAGCGCCCGAACCAGTGTTGTCTCCGAAGAGGGTTCGCTCGCCTTCCGCTACAGTGACTCCTCCGATAAGACTAAGCCACTGTTGGCCCGACCGGGACAGCCGGCAGTGCTCTGGGCTCACGAGACAATCGCCGAGGAGAGTGACGAGGCGTCGTACGCGTCGCTACCCTTCCAGAAGAATATGAATAATTTTAAATATATGCCGAACGGAGAGCCACTGCCGCCACCGCTGCCTCCGCCACTGCCACCCGATAACCGCACCTCCGCTTACATCTACGACGAGAAGGGACTCTTAACGCACTCATCGCCGCACACGTCCGGCAATAATATGTTTTGTAAAGTAGACGTTCACCACAACGACAACAGTGACTCTTACGACGAGTTCTTAAGACCGCAACACGTCTGAAGCGCTCCGGAGGCTCTCCTCCTCCCACCACCACTTCCTCCTCCTCTTCGCGTCACTTAATGTGTTTTGGATTGAATTTTACATTTTTTGATATAAATTATTTCAAAAAGCCTTTTATCGCATAATTATATATAAATGAGACGACAAAACAAGTCTCCGACTCAACACATAATTCATATGAATATATTTACCATTACTTGAGAGTGAAAAGTGTTTTTTCGAGAATTTCTTATTTTAAACATTTGTTTGTCACGATTTTGGGCCCATTTTTAGGACCTCTAATGTGTATAATCATGAGAAACCCATACATAATGTTATTTTTAGCGACTCATAACTCAATTGATATACAAAATAGTCTGAAAACAATAGTCAAATCACAATTATATTTACATTTGACTCGAATCTCATTAGAATTTATCAAATGAATGAATGTTTCCTAAAATGACCAAAGAATTAGTTTGCCGTTCAGTAAAAGCATTTGAAATGTCAGTATAAATGTCAAAACAATAGTCCGATTCTCGTTGTATTGTTTTTATAGCCAAACAAAAAGCAAAAATTGAAGACATAATGATAGTTGAGATTAACATTTGAAGAGTTGGTCACAAAGCAAACAATTGGCGTTCACAACACTATTTGGGCGTCAAGTCTATGGTTTTTATTATACTTTTATTTCCAAAGACTGAGCTCTCGAACCAAAATATATTAGTAAATATGTTTAGAAGAATACATGAATAGTATCGCAAAATCGTGTATCACATCATTTTCACACAACACTTACAATTTCACTCATTTGTTCATTCATTTAAGTGAAACACTCATTGCTTTATAAATAACTTGTAATAATAATAATGAAATGTTTTGGGCGTTGATATGCAGAGAGTATGTGAAGAAGAAGAAAGGATTGGTATTTCTCTTTTTGGTGCCATTCAGTTGTGCTGTGCTTAACATTAATGGGAATGTATTTTTTTGGATACAAATTGTGTATAAATTACATGAGAATTATTTAAATTACATATAAATATTGAAACAAAATTTTATTTATAAATTTATTTACAAAACAAAAAATTTTAGTGATTGTAATAATTATTATCTCTCATTTCAATTGATGTTATAATTGATTATAATTTATATTATTTTTTATATAGCAATATATGCACTCGTTATTGCAAATGTGTTGTGATTTTAAATTGCTTTCAATTATTTTTAATTTATTATTATTAGCGGCTATTTATTAATCAATTTTATTTGTCAAATTGTGAACAATTTTTTTGATTACATATACAATATATATATTGAATTAAAGAATAAATAATGGATTTAAAAAACAATGAATTAATTTTATTGATATAATTCAAAACTAACGCCTAATTCATAATATATTCGTGACTCACGAATGTTTACATTAATTAATTTTATGTATAAAACTATGATTTGGTCTACAATTGAAAACAACGAGTCTATGGTATGAACTAAATGTCGACATTTTGGTCAACCCTCTGGTCGGTGGCAGTGCTTCTCGCGGGCGACCAAACGATCCCCATTAGAGTGATGTCGGCCTCCAATAGAGTCATGTCTATGGATGAGCCCAAGAATCGATCGGACAGTTCCAAGTCATTGATCCGGACCTTCACTTTCGCTCCCCTCACGTATTGGCTGTTCAATCAAGACATCAGTCATTGACTTATGGATTGGTTCACAAGTGATGGACAAACCTTTGGTTAGATTTGGGTCTTTTGCAGACGCCGTTGAATTTGAAGCCGAAGTCGACGTACAGGTCTTCGTCCACCACATCGTCGATGCGTCCGATGACAACCTTTCCCTCCGGATCTCCCATTTGGATGAAAGTCGAGTGACGAAGAAGTGTCGGGAAGGGAACCGATGGCTCGTCGGAAGCGCTGTCTTTCCCACCGTTTTGTCTCTCTTTAGAAATTGTGACAAACTTTTCAAACGCTTTCGCAAACGATAACCGATTCGTCTCTTTGTTGGCCACACTTTCATCCGATGGTCTCTTCAGATCAGACAATAACTCATTAGTGAGGGAATCGTCACCCGATTTGTTCCCATCCGATGAAGAGCTCGCCAATTGCCGTCTGACCACCGATTGGTAGACATTACCGGATCTAATCATCACTTGTCTCACACCCGACGACATCACCACTGATTTAAACATCGCTTTTAATTCATTGATTTAAATGACAATCAATTCAATCATTAAATCATTAAAAATCAATTCAATTATTGTTTTAATAATCGCTTTATTTATAACTTTTTATAAACAAAACGTGTTTTTTGTTGTGTTTTTTGGTCACAAAAACGTCGCCTAAAATAATAGTCATTTCAATGAAAACTCATTCACTGTTTCTATAGAAATATCACTCATTTTTTCAATATTATTAAATCAATTAAATTGTAATTAATTTGTAATTAATATTTGCATCGCTTTTATAATTAGTGAATAAATTTAATTAAAAACAGTTACGAAAAAAAGTAAAAGTATTTATTTTGTGCCGTAATTGACGTACAATTGATATAACGGTTCGCAAAGCGAAAGTGAAAACCAGTGTTTCATTTGTGTCGACAAATTAGTTGTCGTTTTTGTTGCTTTCGTTTCGCAGTTCTTGTAATGATTGGATCAAACCATTAGTGATAATAACAATCGGCGACCAAAATGGGCGACAATGGAGGACAAGAGGCGGACCAACAGTCGGCGTCCGCCAGACGTCGGAGGCCTGGAGTGGTTGGCGGAGACAATGAGCCCAACAGTGGCCTCATTGACGGCCACCCGATGGCCGCCGAAGAACAGACGCTTCCCTACAAGACGTGCAACGAATACGTCCAACACTTGAATGTGTGGATACTTCAGACGATGCAATACAACTGGTTTGCCGCCAATTATCCACTGATGATGTCGTCGATGGCCGCATCCATGCAGTCGTCGGCCACCACCACATCGCCCACCGCTTCCACTTCTTCACCGCCCAATCGTTTCAATTTGTTCGCCAATAATATGAACCAAAACTTTGTCAATAATATGGCCGCAAATGGACCGCCAAGTGGTCAGTCATTTAACGCTAAATTTTGTCTTATTTTTGTTTGCAATGCGTTTTTATGGGCTTTGAGTTGATATGAAACCAAACTTTTAGATGGCATTAGTTTTCCCAATCGCTGTCTTTCTTTCTCACAGCAAACCCGAAGACCTATTAATCCATCACTTGATGTAAACCATTGAATGTCTGAATTGTTTACAATTTATGTCTGTTTAAAGTGAGAAAGCATTTGGAGTTCAGATTTTAATCGCAATATTATTAAAAGTTTTTGCCGTCTTTTTATGCAATTAATCATTGAATTCATCGATTGATTTAAAAAACACTTTTCTCACACTTTTGTTGTTTTTGGGATCAAGTCTTTGGAGTAAGAAAATTGAATATCAAGAGAGAGATAGAGAGAGAGAGAGAGAGAGAGAGAGGAGAGAGAATGGACTTCCAAATGACTATTTGATGATATCATATATCGATAGAGTTGTGAGAAATCACTTTAAATGCAAATTTTATTTTTCAAATGAATTTTAAATTTAGTTATTTTTTGTTGAATCGATTTTATTCTCGTCACCGAAACTGATTCGTCAGAAATATTGTTGACAACAAAACAATATTTTTTTCCTATCAGTACTTCAGCCTTAAGTCCTGGAAATCAATTTGAGTTCATTTAATGCCTGAAGTGTTTCGCTTTAAAGCCGATGAGAAGACTATCTCTCTTTAAATGGAAAGAAAAATTTCTTAATTTTTTGTAATTTAATTCTTTAGGTCTTCTTTCACTTCTTTTAGACTCTCTCTCTCTCTCTCTCTATCTCTCTCTTGATATTCAATTTTCTTACTCCAAAGACTTGATCCCAAAAACAACAAAAGTGTGAGAAAAGTGTTTTTTAAATCAATTGGTTTACATCAAGTGATGGATTAATAGGTCTTCAGGTTTGCTGTGAGAGAGAGTGAGAGAGAGAGAGAGAGAGAGAGAGAGAGAGAGAGGAGAGTGAATGGACTTCCAAATGACTATTTGATGATATCATATATCGATAGAGTTGTGAGAAATCACTTTAAATGCAAATTTCATTTTTCAAATGAATTTTAAATTTAGTTATTTTTTGTTGAATCGATTTTATTCTCGTCACCGAAACTGATTCGTCAGAAATATTGTTGACAACAAAACAATATCTTCCTATCAGTACTTCAGCCTTAAGTCCTGGAAATCAATTTGAGTTCATTTAATGCCTGAAGTGTTTCGCTGTAAAGCCGATGAGAAGACTATCTCTCTTTAAATGGAAAGAAAAATTTCTTAATTTTTTGTAATTTAATTCTTTAGGTTTTTTTTCACTACTTTTAGTATCTCTCTCTCTCTCTCTCTCTC